CCCATTGAGAGCCACAATTTTAATGGCTGCTCCTATGAGCAGTGACAGCTATGTGCCTGTCCTTTTTTTCTTTTTTTTTCGGTACTAACATTATATGGAATGCTTCATGAATTTGCATGTCATCCTTTCACAGGGGCCATGCTAATCTCTGTATCGTTCCAGTTTGGGGATATGTGCTGCTGAAGAGAGCCCTCCCTGCCCTGTTGGTCTTTCTCGTCCTCCCCTTCCTCCTCGTCTTTAAAGTTTCCAACACTGGCGCTGTCTCATCCTCTTCTGAAATGTTTCCTCCTCTATTCTGCAGAAGTCACTTCTGACCCCCCCAACTCCTCCTCCTTTTGAAGTAATTGGTGCTATCTCGTGACAGGCTCCTTCAACAGTTTGTAGCCAGGGCATCCTCGAGGCAGGAGCTGGTGATGGGGCCCATCTAATAACTCATTACTCCCTTTTCGCACGTTCTCCACTGTGCGTGATTGTCCTCCGCCAAGGCACGGTCTCCCTCTGAAAGTGCCGTCACACGGCGTCTTCGGGTGTTAAGTGTAAATATGAGACGAGGATAATGTGAGGGGGAGGTTGTGTCTTCCTCTTCACTTAGAGAAATTAAATGCCACAAATTCAGACTGTAAGCTAAGGTGTGCCTGGGGTTTGTCAGCCCAGAGATTCGCCAGAGAGAAAGAGATGGAGGGAGGAGGGGAATCCAGGTCTCACAGGCTACTTGTCTGGAGTTTCTAGTTTGCTAAAGCAAAGCCACTCGGAGCAGAGTTCACATCTATTTCAAGGTGGATCTAGAGACTCCTGTCCACGTTTTCCAGGAAATTATGCAAAGGCCGTGTCCTCACTCTGCATCTACGAACTCCCTCTCTCTCCAAGTCCATCCCATGCTATCAACAATGAATGCATTTATTAGGCTTCACTCTGTGCTAGACACTACTTCTCATGATCATTTAATTTTCACAGCCTCACCAGGTGAGTAATACTATTATTACAATTTTGCAGATGAAGAGACTACGGCTCAGAAAGTCTAAGACATTTTGGCCAAGTTGCACAGCAAGAGAGGAGCAAGGCCAGGACTGGTGTTTTAAGATGAACTGAGATTCTCACATCAGAGGGAACTGGCCTGAGGACAGGGGAGAGTCTGCGGCTGGGTGTGGGCTCCAGGGTGCTCAAGGCTGAGATGCTGACACTGGGAAAGTCCAGAGTGCTGCGGGTTTTTGGGAGGGAGCCTGTTTCTTGGTCTTTTTCTCCTCTCGTATCTTCTCACCACAGATGTAGCAAGGGTCAATTAAAAAAATAACTGTTGAAAATGGTGCCAGCCTGGAGCCCCCAAGTGGGGAAGGAAGTGCTTCTTGCCCCTCCACCCACTCCTGGCAGCTGCACCTGTGTTCCTGCCCAGGAGTCTCTGACCCTGCCCCGTAGGCACTGCCCCCATGGGCACTGCTGGCCTATGTCTCTGCCTTCTCGGATACGCATGGAACCTCCGCCAGCTTCAGGCGCGGCCACTTCATTCAGAGGGCTCTGTTTCCAAACAGCAGCCATTCTTTTACTTCTCTCTAATAGTGGGGAGAGAAGGTTCTGTTCTTTGCGTTCCTCTCGACTACGTCTTAATTACCTCTTCTGCTTAAATTGTGAGCAGCAAGTTCAACCACTCTGCTAGTCTCCTAAGTGGCAAATTAAGACTAATTTAGATGGGGTTTACAGATGAGCCAACATGTGAACGGCGGAGAATGGATCAGTGTTCTCCGCTTGGATCTGCTCCCCCAGGGCCATCTCCTGATGAACAGGCAGCGGGCGTGGGTGGGGCCTGGCCTGGCCCCTTCTCCACCTGCCCACCCCCCC